CCGGGCGCCCCGGCCCCGCCGCCGCCGCCGCCCGACACCGCGATCAAAGCGGAGGCGGCCGGAGCCGACCAGATCCTCCCCGAGGCCGACGCGCGCCTGGGCCAGGCCGGCTTCATGCAGCGCCAGTTCGGGGCCATGCTGCAACCCGGGGTCAACAAATTCTCCCTGCGGATGTTCGGCAGCCAGAAAGCGGTGGAGCGCGAGCAGGAGCGGGTCAAGTCGGCGGGGTTTTGGATCATCCACCCCTACAGCGACTTCAGGTAAGGCGGGGCGGGGGGGCTCCTCACCCCGCCTTGTGAACCCGCCCCCTCCCACCCCTCCGTGGGGCTGGCCGGGACGGCAGGCGTGCTCGCGTCGCTCGGCCTCCCGAGCCCGGAGTTAGAAACTTTCCTGCTCCAGGGGCCCGCCGCCGCCGGCCCGGGGAGCTCCTAAGGGAAAGCGAGGACCCCCCCCCCCACACACACACCCAGATCTCCTCCAACTTTTGCTTCCTTGTGGCAGACTGGACTGGGAATCAAGAAAGAAAGAAAAAAGGTAGTTTTTGTTTTCTTGGAGGCTGGCCTAGGCTTGTCCGCAGCCAGGATGGGGCCCGAGCCTCCCCGCGTGAGCCACGCGCCCGCCGCACCCACCGCCAGGGCTGCAGAGCCCCGGGCTGGCGGTTCCTAAAGGCGGCGGCGGCGGGGTGTGTGTGGGGGTCACACAGCCCTGCATGGAAGGGCGGTGGAGGGAGAGAGAGGCACACACGGAGATACCCCCACCCCCTTAGGGCCAGCAATGGGGGGGGTGGGTGCCTTTGTGGGTTAGTAGCTATGGGGAGCCCCAGGGAGCTGTGGGCACACCCTCCCCCACACCCCCTCCAGGAGGACTGAAGTTCTGCACGCCCCCCCTCCCGCCGGGGCTTCAAGGACCAGGGTAAAAAAGCCCCCCCCTTGCAGCCCCCCATAACCCCTTCACCCTGGGCCCCAATGGTGGACCAGAAGGCGGTCCCCTGAGCTTTCAGGCGGGCAGGACAGAATGACCTTGCTTATAGTGGCCAGCACCGATGCCCAATGTCCTGATTTGACATGCCACCGTCTGGTGGACCCCCCCTCCAAGTAGAGGCTGGTGCCCTACCCCCCCCCCCGCAGTAGCGCAAGCCCTAGCACGTTGGGTGGGGGTGGGGGGGGCTCTCATGGGTCAGTGGTGGGTCTATAAACAAAAAGAGGACCATTGGTTTGGAAGAGGGACCCTGTCTGTCCCTTGTCACCCGAGTCAGATGCTACCCAACTGTACACGTGTCTCAGGACTTGAGGACCTATGGGTGGAGAACCCAGGGGTGCATGTTGCCTCTGAACTTGGGCACCAGGGAGCATCCTCAGCTCAGTCCAGGCTGGTGAGGTTTCCCCAGGACCCCCCCAGCCCCCCCCAGCACAGCAGATGGGGATGAGGATTTGGGAAGCATTCACCTCCCCCTTTCCCCCTGCCTTCCCCTCCCGGGGTCTCTCACATTCCCCTCTTTGGGGGCCCCTGCCCCCTCTTGCTCTCGCCCTGCCCGCTCTCTTGCCAGCCCGTGTCCACAAGCATCCTGCCACCCCAGAGCCCTCTTTTGCAAACTCCAGAGGATCTGGGAGCTGTTTTTCATCCAATGAGAGAGATGGTCGGGGCTGGGAAGGACCAGTCAGACAGCTCTTAAAATAGGTGGTGAATAGAGGGCCCCCCCTCTTTTAACTCTCTTTTCAGAGACTGCTCTTTCGAACCCTCATACCTGAGCCCTTCGCCACAGCGGGCCGGGGAGCCTGAGCTGTGTGGTCACATCGACTTGTGTGAACGATCACGGGGCCCTTCCTGCAGGATCTGGGGGACCTTGGGACCTGGGAGAATGTACAGAGGCTGGGGAGAGGTCTCCCCTATTCCTAGGGGTGTCCCGGGCTTCTCTACCCCCCTCTGAATGTGTGCGTGGTGGCCACAGACTGCTGGGGGGCATGCTCCCCTCCCCATGTCAGGCTCCCCCCTTAGTGGTAAGACAGCTCCTGTGCAGGGTGATATATATATATATATATATCTGTTGGTCACCAAGCCTGTGTTTTCCCCAGGCATGCGCAGTCTCCACTGATAACTAGCCCTGATGGAGGCTAGACCATGGAGGGGGCGGGGTGCTAGCCCTCCCGACCCCTCACCTGTGATGGTGGAAAGCTAGGATCAGGTGGAGTTCATCTATCCAAAGTAACCTTCCCCCTTCCGGTCTTACCTGGGATCCTGGGATGGAGGTCTTCAGTCCCTGTGTCCCCCCCCTCCCCCCCGCCAGGATGGCCGTGTACAGGGAAGGGGATGGGGGGAAGAGGAGGTGGACGTAGCAGGACTGGTAAACGGACAGTGGGAGAAAAAGGTGCAACCGAGCTTTGAACGTGACTCTTCGCAACCAGCCCACAGGGACTGCTAGCTGTCTGACGCTGGGCCTGGTCGGAGGAAAGGCATGCAAGAAAGACCCGTTCGTGGCTGTCTAGGGGTGTGTTAGGGGGAGGTCCTACCTCTCCTGGGTCTCTGTCTGCGGTTGGTCGGTCACCATGGCCCATACAAGCTGTCTACCAAGCGCTTGCCCTGGTCAGTTGCAGACATATTCATCACGTTGATGGGCAGCAAACATTGATCCGGTAGAACTGGTTTAATAAAGAATCGCCAGCAAGCTGCGATAGATTGAGTTTGTGGTTTGGAGTTTCGGGGCTGACAATGATGTGCTGTCTTGGGGGAGTGGGGGGTTGGGGGCCAGGCCTGGTAACAGGCTGGTGTTGATTTTGAACTGCCTTGGCTTCTTCCCCTGGTACCCCAGCCCAGCCCAGCATCTTGCCCCAGCCAACTCCCATGGACACGGGCTCATCGGGCCTCCCTCTTCGGACCTCCCTGCCTCCCATCTACCCATGAAACTTTTGTGAAGGGAAGAGGGCAGCCGGGAGCAGCCCCTGAGGACTCACTGCTGCCCAGAGGCTGGCTTCAGAGATGCCATGCCCTAGGAGCCAAGGTTTGGGGTGGTAGGACCCAGGAGCAAAGTGGGAGAAGGGGAGCGGGAACCCCAAAGGAAGGGGTAGCTGGTTTGATTCTTAGAGGCTGGTCAAGGCCCCCCGGGCGGGGGCGGGGGGAGCTTCCCCAGGCCTGCAAATGTTGTATCTGTCTGAGCAGGCATTTGGGGGCTCAAGTTCCTGTGGGTGATGTTATTTCTGGGGATACTGCTGTGTCCCCAAACACCAGCTCAGCCTTTGGGACTGGAGAATGCTGAAGCGC